GCAATGACTTTATGCAAAAGTTTGGCTCTTTGCTGACAATTCTTGGACATTTATTCGACGGGAACATCTCCGATATTCCCTCTGAAGAATGTAGGCGTCTCGACTCACTTGTTCACCTGATCGCCAGTGAATCTAGTGATAAACAGAAGCGTTCTTACAACTTCCTGCTAAAAAATGTTCCTCGATCTGCTCGGCCAATTGATGTTGCGACCAGTTTCCTGTATTCATGTGGTTTCAACAATAAAATAGCTGATGCCAAACGCTTGTCCTCCCGTAGTACAAATCCACCCATCTTAGTCAAATTGTTTTCATCAATCGAAGTTGACACAATATTTACTCATCGAGAGCGTGTCACTGCGTACCTAGAGAAGGCAAAATTTTTCCTTTATCATGATCTTACTCCTATGGAGCGTAGAATGGGGTCTCTATTCTCACGTAAACCTACTGCTTCTCAGTCTACTGCTCCCCAACTCGGTCATAATACTAGTGGCCGTAAGGATTCAGCTTCTCCTACTCCTGCGACATCTGACTCCCTCCTTCCTCTTTCTCCTACATCTCCATCTCACTCAAGCCACTTGACGCATTTGCCTGCCCCTAAACTTGCAGCAGCAGCAGCAGCAGCAGCAGCAGCAGCAGCAGCAGCAGCAGCAGCAGCAGCAGCAGCAGCAGCAGCAGCAGCCCCATTTGTCGTTTCGTATCCTCCAGAAATTCCCGCTGAGACACATGAAAATCCGTCTACATCAGCTAGACCGATAACTTCCATTGTCCACCTGGGTGCTGTAAGGTCTACAGCTAAGTCACCAGTGGCTTGGCGTCAGAACGGTGAGACTCGAAAACTGACTCAGACTCCGACCCAAAAGATAGGTAGTACAGTTCCGTTTAGGGGTACGACGCCTTCTCTTAGATCTAACAAGTCTGTTCAGCCCAGCACGTCTACAAACCCCGCAGCTCCAATTATATCCTCGAATAATTCTCTGTCCTGCGTACCGGTTACTTATCAAAGCCCTACTATATATCCAGCAAATAATTCATACATGAATTGCCCTAAATCATTTATGCCCCAACCTAGTTCAGGCTTCCCACCACTTAAGGCCAATTGCTCTCAGGTACGTCAACCTATCTCATTTGACTTCCAATCTAGACCTGGCTTCCCACCATTTCATTCTTTTAGTGGCCTACCCTCACCCATTAGCCCCTACTTTCCTTCTAGCCTCCCTCCTCCTCCCCTTCCTCCACTATTTAACTACCAACAAGTCTATCCATGTTCTAACTCCCCTAGCATTCCAATGTTTGAAAACTATATCCCCACCTCCTTTATGTCTCATACTCAGCCTTCTCTTGCCGAATCCCCGTAAGTCAGTAACTCTAAATTAACTGGTACTTATTCTCCAAGTGTCATTAATTCACAGCTTACATATCCACCTCCAAATTTTTTTAAATACCGTCGAAAATAGCATTGCCTTTCGAAACACATTACATGTTATATTATTGAATGCCAGGTCTGTTATAAACAATATGGCCCACATCAGAGCCATTGCTCTCGAAATGACGCCGGATATTATATGTGTAACAGAATCTTGGACACATTCTCTAATTCCTGACTCTGCCCTCCTCATAGATGACTTCGATTTTTACCGCCAAGACCGCACGACTAGGAGTGGGGGTGGTTGTCTTCTTTATCTTAAATCCTACCTAAAGCACTCTCCCCATTACTTGGATGTTTCCTCAATCACGGGAAACTTCTGCTTTGCATCTATTATTCTCTCGCCGCAAAGAAAGGCAATTATTGGCTGTATCTACAATCCCCCAACTTCTTTAGCCAGTGATGATTCACAACTCTGTGTAATCTTTTAAGTCAGTTTAAGTCAGTTTATTAAGGGAATGAGGCTTTCGCCCTTGAGCACCCTATTCATGTCGATAAACAGAAATAAAGTCATCAATTACATCAGCAAATGCACAAGGTTAAGAAGTTAGCGGTAAGTGTGAGCCAGGCGCAAACTGCCGCCGCTAAAAAAATCATGATTGTATGTACAGTAGGTTCTCAACAAGTGAGCGTCTAGTCTGCACTTAAAGGATTTAACACTTTCGGAAAGAACGACGGCATCAGGTAGTCCATTCCATGCCCCGATGACCCTGTGTGAGAAGGCGTTCCGTCGGACGTCCGAATGAGCCCGCTTCCTTTGCAGTTTGAACGGATGACCACGCAGACGGTCAGTCCGGGCCAATTCAAAGAATTCATCAAAATCTAGGGCACACTCTCGGCTTCTCACAATCCTGTAGGTTTGAATGAGATCACCGCGCAGTTGCCTGTAATTTAGAGGAAACAGATTTAGTTCAGTCAGCCTGGTTTCGTAAGGCAAATGATGAAGATTCTTGACCATCTTCGTAGCCATCGCCTGTACTCTTTTCAGTCGTTGATAATCTTTCTTCAACCACGGTCGCCAGGCCTGGACTGCGTACTCTAAGTGAGACCGGACGAATGCCTT